TCCATGTGGGACTTGAAGGTCCCATAAGAGGTGGGCGGGGGTGTAGGTGGTGGTGAGGGCGATGTGAAGGGGTGTTTGCCAAAAGCATGGGGCTCCTGGCCACCCAGCCCAGTGTCCCATTCATCATCATCCATCATGTCATGATTGTCATCCATTATGTGGCCAGCAGAAGTGGTGAGGTTGGGGGTGGGGGTGGGATAAACAGCAGGGGTGGGATTAGGGTCATCAGTCATCTCCATCATCTCATCTTCAGCTTCAGGAGGGGGGACATGTTTACCTTTGCCCTTCGATGTGAGTGCAAGCACATTGCTTGTGTGATCTGCCCCCAGTGTAGAAACAACAATACAACGAGGAACAAAAGAGGCTCCTAGCTGTATCTATAAATGTTGTGAGGTCGCGCGTTGCCTAGTCTGCTATTCTTGAGACGACAAGTGTGTTCGACCCTAGGGGAAGCGAGTGCAGCAAGGATCTAGAAGTGTGCGCTGAAGCGAAGCGTGAGAAAGTGCAGGTGCGCGCAAGGCGCGGGAACATGCGCGCATATTAGCGCAAAGCGCGGGAAAGCGCGCGCGCATATGCAGAAATAATAGAGAAGTTAGACTCAAGTGCTAATATGATGCAATATAAGAGAAGAGAGATGCGAAGTGTAGACAAATAGACTTCTACTATGTTCTGCTAAGTAAAATGGTGGGTTGTAACTAGTAAGTTAAAGGGAAAGTAAGTGAAAAGTAGTTTTTGAAAGTAAGTTGTACTATGTACTGCTGGCACTTATATAGCGCGCCTAAGCGCGGTCATGCGGAGCCGAGGCGCTACCGAGTAGGTATGTAAAGATATATATAAGTAAGGGTCCATTATAAAAATAGAGGTGGAATGATATGCTAATAAAACAAATGGAAATATACGCACTAGAGGGCTTGGTGGACAGTGGATGGATGCTTCTGGATGGCTGGCGCTATAGGGCACTCAAGCGCGGGAATGTGCGCGCGCATATACATCGTGAAGCGCGGGAATGGTGCGCGCATTGCGCGGGAAAGCTGCGCCTCATATAGAGATAGCTGCAGGTAGTGCACGGAGTGACACTACAAGTTCGTGCTATGTACTCCTTGGTGGAAACTGCCATATCACGCCATGAGAGGCATGATTCTCTACACCGGAGCAGACCAGAATGTCTTGGGGGCATATGCGGGGTTGTTCTTCCAGAGGTCATTGAGCACCTCATACCACGGAAACTCTGAGACTACTTGCTCTAGATGTATTTTAGATAAATTCATCAAATAAAAATTAAATAACATACAGAGAAGATTATTGCTAGTGTTAGGTTGAGACGGGTCAACACCCGCACTGGTCTTGGAGAAGTGACCACAAAGCTTCTTGTATTTGTTCCTAAGGCTAAAAAATGCAATGAATAAATACATGTGAAGAAGGGAAAGGACACACTAAGTCAAACAATTTAACATGACTTGCGTGAACTTAGCTAGCCCCTCAGAATACAATGTCTCATATTCCCCATCCTTCTCAAATACACAGCGCGTGATCACCACATATATCTTTGTTTTATCACTTCCAGATGGACAGCCTTCATTGTCGGATTTCTTTCCTCCTTCGTTGAACAGGATGCAGCAGTTGGCAGGATGGGTAGACAGGAATTGCACAAGAGTGTTAGTTAAGTCGATGTTCCACCAAATCTTAATGCTGGAGGATGTATCAATCACACTGTCCCTCAGGATGGTGTCAGATGGACCAGCGGTGGATATGTTACTGGTGGCGGCCTGGCCGCATCCCCTCATACTGCAAATTGAAGTGGCCTTCCCCCTAGCATGGGTAACTCTTTGGGTTTGGGTGGCCATAGGTGGCCTATGGTGGGTCTGGGAGCATACTTTGAGTCACTCTGAATGTTGTACTGGAGGGCATACAGGAGGGATGGTGTACGCATGGACCAAAGTTCAATTTCAGACTTTGACGGTAGTCTGCTGATGTTCTGTAGAGTTCTGAAAGAATCTGTTACCAGTTCCAGAACCTTAATAATTTGACTTTGAATACCATTATTGTATTAAAAATATTTTCTGTTCTGACAATGTCCTTTGACTGAACATAGCATAAAACATGTTTAATGATAACATTAATAACATTTTTTTTTTGTTCTAATGTATGTTTTTATATAGGACATACTGCAAATGTTAGGATAGAATGTCTGTAAAATGGTAGGAGTGCAAACATATTAAATTTCCACAGTCACAATATTATTTATGTTAGAATTATGAATACACATCATGTGTCCACACCGCACATTGGATGCACGAATAGAGCGGATAAATCAATTGGTGCAGATGGAATAACTAATATAATTCACAATGTTCTCTTCAATAGATTAATTGTTCTAATGGAGAGGTAGTTTGATTGGATAGAATGGATCTGATCGCACCAAACAGAACAGTTGGATTTGCTATAATATTTGGACATGTGCGGGAATACATACCACAGTAGCTACCTGAAGCTGCAGGAAGTAAAATCTGGTAGCTACTTGTTTGGTTGTCTTCCTTCTATTTTCTTTGTTTCAGGTACTTAGTAGCTACTTGTACCACATACTTTCTTTGTTTCAGGTACTTAGTAGCTACTAGTATCACATACTTATGCCTAATCCTTTGTTTATAAGTTACGAGTACCTCCCAAACCATGCGAGACGATAGACTCATACCATGCTTTTGCTGCATATATGTCAAGCAACTCTGCACCCACGTGATCGCACTCTCCCTCGCTGCGCTTCTTCATCTGGACTGGAAACAAACACATAGGTACTACTACATGCCCCATAGCAGATCATGGCATATCTGCTCACTGGTTGAGCCCTGGGTGGGGCGAGCTGGTCAATGTTTCTGAGGGACGCTCTATCGCCAATCTCTGACGACTTCCATGCTCTCAGGCAATATTAGCTGGAGTCCAGGTCACACTATGACCATCTCCCCAGTCCAGCCATCGAAATTGTTGTGCCACCTCACCATCTTGATTCCAAGTGTTGTCCTTTACATTCACACCATCTCTTCCAGTTCTCTTTGTGCTCACACTCAAGTAACACGTTCTCACTGTGTCTCCTCTAGTAAAATCAATTACCTGGACCCTTGGTGAGTTTCAAGCTCTATTATACATCATTGGCAGCAACTCATTTTATCATCTAGGATAACAGCTGCATGGTGCAGTGCCCACAATGTTCCGATCGAAAAGATCTTCTCAAAGATACCTCTCGCCAAATGTGAGCTTGCATGGATGGTATTTCATAGCAACTTATACTGATGCTGATTTCAGTTCCCTGGGCCATGGAAGTCGACAATGCCTGGAAATTCTAGTCCATACGCCCTCTCTGGAAGAGTCCATTGTGCATATGGCCGACAGAACTGCAGGGGTTTATCCCACAGAGCTACAACAAGAGCCAGCGCCCAAGCTGGAGCCATCACTTCTGGGGCCTGTTAGTTATACAGAAAGTATGCATCTTGACTTCTGTCTAGTGCTTTCAGTGTACTCTGGGGCTCATACTTCATGCACTTTAACTACATGATCTGTCCTGTGCATGATCTTGAAGTCTCTGCCTTGAGTAATGTTCAGTGTATGCCCAATCCAGTATTTGTCTGGAAGGTGTGGCAAATTTGGTCACCTCTCAGGGTATTTCTTTCATGGCTTGTGAGTGCAAATTAAAGTTATTTTGTGTAACTGCTCAGAGTCACCATTAGCTTGGAAAATCAGTGACTGTGATTCCCTATGCACCATACCAACTGGTCATGGAGGGATGACCGATCACATGGACTACCAGTTAGTTCTGAATCCCAAATGCATTTTGTCAAGACACTCATCATTTCTAGATTCCTCAGGGGCGTGTTCACCTATGTCTATTATAGCAGTCTTATTTGAGAACACCACATCAGCATGGGTTCTATCTTGCAGATGATTGTTAGTGGGCTTACTGTTAATGAGCAGTTGGAGTTGGTGAAGGACCTGAAGAAGTACATGGAAGGACAAGGCATCATGATAGTATGAGCTGGCATGAGCCCTGGGCAGGGTGAGCTGGTTAATGTTTTTGAGGGACACTCTATCGCCATCTTCAGTGGGCCTTCTTCTTCCCCTTGCCACGGAACATATTTGTAGATGAATTCAATGAAATCATGTTAGATGTGTTGCCAGGAGATTATGGTGAGCATGAGATAGGGCTATGCATGAACATATTCATGAACATGCGTGACAGAGTTTTACTTCACTTCAGACAGTCTGAAAGAAGCAGACAAAGCACCTGCAGATGCACCTGAGCAAACACTTGACTACCTCGCCATGTTGACTCATCCAAAAACGCCACCCCATCGACTGGATCTCAAAGTTGACACTATATGCGCAATACAACGAAACATGTCCATCGAGAATGGAGTGGTGCGAAATGCGCGAGTGCACATCACTGTGGCTCTGCATCACAGATTCATGGAGGTTGAGATGCCTCACACAGAAGAGAGACATTACCTGCCTCACATTACGTTCTCTTTCAATACTGCCAGGTCGAGCTGGACCATCAATCAAAAGCAATTTCCTCTGTGGCCTGCTTATGCCACCACATTCAACAGATGTCAAGGACTCATGCTCGAGAAAGCGGATACTGGACCTTCATACAGATTCATTCACACACGGTCAGATTTACACTGCACTATCAAGCATGCAAGAGACATTTGGGTGCTATTTCCTACAGATGCTGAGGAGAAGACTACGGTGAACATAGTATACAGACACCTGTTATTGTAATCAGACACGTGATGTCCGAAGGTGATCAGTACTCTTGTATGTGTGAGGCTCCCCCTCCAATGACTTTAGATAAGGTGTTGTATAGTAGTGCCACCTGAGATACAGTCAAAATGAACCCCTGCAGTACAACCCTGTGCAATAAGCTAAGTAAAGAGTCATCAGAAAGCCCAGTAGATATAATAAATTCCAGGACTATTGAATCTTGTCAGCGACATCGCATAGAAAGTACATCATATGTTCACCTTTTTGTGTGGTTCATGTAGTGGTGAGGCAGCACCCTGTCCTGCAGATAGACTTTTGCAAGCATCTCTTGAGACTTTGTCATCACTGGAAGCTTTGTGCTTACCAATTTCGACTGTGTGCCAAAGCTGTATGGAAGACTTTCCACTACCTAACTGTGACACTCCAGCAGCGATCATAAATAGATTCTTGCCAGTGGTACCAGCATGGACATGTGCCTATCATGTAGATAGGAGAGCTCAGCAATTGTTTAAGCTCATATTGGAAGATGACATACATCAATTGCTAAGATTCTGTCACAGTCTGCATGAAGCTTCAGACACAATTTAGAAATACTTGATATGAATGAATACCATCATGCGTCAATGTCTGCAAGATCTTGTGAGTGGAAAAATCCCAGATATTTAGCTGTCCTGAAGTACTGCCGCCCATGACAGCAAATCCGCCATGAATGTACTTGACCGGGACCCACAGACCAGCACTGATAGCTTGCTGCAAGCACCCCCATGGTTCCCCAGTTTCTAGTTGATATAGATAAAATCCAGTACAGAGGTTGGATACAGCAAGATATTTGTGATCTGGGGATAGACTGGTGTGGCCACTATTGAAAGGTACTTGAGAACTCCAAACTATATACTCAGAATAGGAACATACAATAGGGTTTTAATGGACATAAAGTGCTTTCGCTCCAACATCACTACATCCCAGAATCTAGAGCAAAGGAGTGCAGTGAGTGGACATGTTATAAGTCAAAATCACCCACATTGAGCCATGGTGCATATATGAAACAAGAAGGGTATGATCCGCATACTTTGTCTCTGCAAATCAAAGAGACATGACAATTTCCTCTGAACCCTCATTGATGCCTACAGTGGGAGGTTGCTGGAGTTCGCTAATGATATTCCATTGCTCTATCAAACACATCAGCTGGTCAAAGCCAAAAGGCCAGAACACACATTACCGCCGACAATATTCCACAATTGAACTTCATTTTGGGCACCTGTAGCAACAGTACCTCAGACAATAGCAGAGAGAGCAAGGTAACAAGTGTGCTTTATATCCCATTGAAGGTACAACAATTCAGATGGTGAGTCTGAACAATGTTGGGTCTTGCAGAACCTAGCTGCTATTCAACCCTAAAGGGTTTCTGGACCAGGCTCAAGGCTCAGAGAAGAGGAAATATGATGAAAACTTGCTGATCTCTCAGACTCATACTGGTAACTGGTGAAAAGATCACTTGATTATGTAAGCTACAAAAGTGCCAACATAAGGTAAGGTAAAAACAGTCTCTACCAGCCCAGCCAGAAATGAATCCCTACACCATTACTGAGAGATCCTGGTCGCATCACAAATCATCAAAGTCAACAGAGAAAGGATGCTAGAACAAATAATGCATGGTGTCGAAAGTGACTGAGATAACAGTTCCACCTTCCAAGCCGCAAATGATATGATTTTCTCCAGGTGGTACCCACTCTAAGGACAAAAGGCTAGCAGGGCTATGGCGATGCCCCTCTACAACATGTAGGAGGTTTGTAGTTTCAGTTGACCAAATTGTAAGTCTGCCATCTAGGCCCCCGGCAGCTAGAAAATTCCCCTTTGCACTGAAAGAAAGGGTAGTAATAAAATCGGTGTGTTCACCTTGCAACTGTCCAGTGGATACATAGTGGAGAGGCATAGCTGCCACATAAGTAGAGACAAAGAAAGAGTGACCTTTGCTTTAGTGTCACACTGTTGTGACCTTTCATCAGAGTTTCAGGACTGTAGGCGGCAGCTGATTTGTTCAGAAAGAATAGTGGGAGTGAGCCAGTATATGTGATTCTGAAAGAGGATAAACCTTGTTGTAGAAGAAAGAATATGTGCTCCTTAACGACTAAGGGTACAGAATGGAATGAAAGGTCAAAAGTCAGAGACAAGTCAAGGAAATTGAATCAAAACAACTACAATAAATGAGTGTCCCTATCTTCAGATTGGTTTGCAGTACTAGAGTCGCTGAAACTTCACAGGCAGTTCATTGGTGAGCCTTCTTCGTAAACAATGTCTTAATTGCAGGCTTAATGAACTTGTTTACAACATCATCTTTCTGCGCGTCCACACTGAGCTCAACAACAGTGCCCCAAGCTTCATGGGTAAGGTAATACTCACCCATCCTGGATGTTCAATGACACTGTCGTCAGCGGCCTATGAAAAACACTACAAGTACAACACTTAAAGTGCCCCAGTCTATCAACAGCTTGATAACATGAGAAAATAGTGCAAGAATATACGACTGTCAGATCTCGTGTTTGTCCCCAGAGGCTGAATCGCATTCGGACCTGCACGTCTCCCAGTTGTCGATTGAGCTTGTTCTGCTTTGAATTTTGTCCTAGTCACCTGCAGGTATTGTATTAATGATGTGTGTTGTGATCCATGAGGAAATGTTGTGGAGATTTGACCGCTATATCTGCTGCCTGGACCAAACAGGAATAAAGTGGGTTACATCATCAAACAGACCACATGCAAAGGCATCGATGATCAGTGTTGTTCAGGCCTGAAAGGACATCATAAGATTCAATAGAAAGAGCTATGCAAGCTGCTTACCCATGAATCAGAACGTCGACAAGATCGACATCAGATATAGAAGATGTGCCTTGATGGGTTACTTTGACATCGCCCCTTCAAGGTTCCAAACCTTGACAGGTCAAATTATGAAATAAATTTGCTGATGAGAGGGTAAATGCTTTTGAGGTATATGGAGACAGCATATGTTACCTGGATAAGAAGCTGAATGAAGGAATGGTCGCAGAAGTACAATTCCATCTTGTCACATAGTGGCTTTCAAATGTTCGCCCCAAACACGCACAGACTGAGAATTTTGTTATTGAATGGCATCAGAATGTTGTGTTTTTTGTTAATCTTTTACACTCTGTTATAGTATAATTAGTGAATAGCAGATGATGAAGAGCACACATACAGTTTTTTCACCTTGTCAAAGTTCATGCTATTGCTGGATAGTTGGCACATCGACAACATATTCAAAGTTTGTCGAATATCTGACTGAGAGCCAGTAATAGCCTTATGATGTTGGCGGGGATCTTTATCCTCTCCCTAGGTCGACAACATCAAATTGGTGTCAACATGATTGAAGGACAACTTACTTGACGCAATCATCGCGCAATCATCATTATGCATGATCAACAGCTTGAACCCTGGGCCTGTGCTGCAGTGAGCTCCTATTATATCTGAAGTTGAGTTCAACATACCATCTAAATGGCATGCCAACAGTATTTGCAACAAGTGGTGGGCATGTCTATCATTACCGATGGGATCTATACAATGAGGTAAGATGTTTGCTCAAGTGGACGGATCAAAACACAACATATGTAGTTCTGTCTTTTTTCAAGGCATTGAGAGTGTGAATGTCACCCCTGTCGCCAGCGGACACACTGTTCACTGCATCCAAGATGAGACATGTCCACAGCTGGTTTGAGACCTGGGCTTGGAGCTGTGGTAAGAATTAGCTGACGTGTTGAGTGAAAAAGGAGGGCATAGTGACCTACCAGTTCCAAAGCCGTCAGGGTCTCAACTTTCATCTGATGTAAGGATATCCACATCACCCTCTGTCAATAAAGCATTGAACATTCAATCAAAACTCAAAGCACCGTGTAACTAACTTGTGTTAACGTGTCCACAGGCCATCAAACGGGCCATCTTTGAGATCAAGCACCTAAAATTGCTTAGCACTGGACTGTCCACAAAAGATCAAGTGAACTTATGATCCAGGTAGATCAAAGTATCACATATTGTGGTTGTTCAGCTGCATCAATATACTGTGCCCTTCCACAAATAAGGGGGAAACTGGATCAAAGAAGAAAAAAGAAAGACAAACACTTCAAAAGTTTTCCCAGGGCACCTTGATGTCAGGGACCTTAGTGGCACAAGCTAACTGTTAGCCCTGTTCACTAGTCCCTAAGTGACTGCTGAAAGTGTCCGTCATAATGTGGAGCTGTGCAGAATGCATGTATTGGCCAATGGAATGAACCTAGTGACCCAGTGATACTTCTAATCAATCATGACGCATCTGTGGGAATATATGAAACTCAGCTCCAGATAATTGATACAGGCTAGCTACAGGACCAAATCAGCTGCTGGTAGCTGCCAGTGCTAGTGAGTACTTAATACATTGACACTCAGTTCTTTGTCGACAATGAAAGGAATTCTACTCAACCCTACTTAACCAATGCATTGTTGATTACACTCGCCGAAACGGTCTATAACCATGTTCTCTTCAACTGGCAACATACCCTTCATTTTCCATCAGCTCATGCACTCAATGGAAGAAAAACCCCACTAATCCCAAGTGGTCTCCACTGGAAAGACAGCCGGTCAAACTGACGGATGCAATGGTTCGCACAACCTGGATCTGGATATATCCAGTGGTCTGTCGAAAATGCTCTAAAGACGGAGTCACCCCTGAATGTTTTTTCATTATTGTTAGCATGTTGCCACCAGAGCGCATTGCACATTCATTTCTGATATTCTCTAGTTACACTTTCTGTTTAAGTCATGTCTTCAACACAGTGGACTGACCCTTGAAGCTTGATGCTTCATTCCACTTCTGTTTCATGCTTTTGCATATTGTAGAAATCCATTTAATTCATAATATCGTGCAAATATAAAAGGTCAATTTTCTAACTTGAAAAGTGTGCCTTCCTCAGCTGTTCAGCTGTTGCATGAAATGTGATATTTATTAGAACAGGATGCATGGGTACCCAGATTTTAGCACTAGATTGTCCCCTTTGTTTGCGAAAACATATTTGAGCCACAGGCCTCCATAGAACTTTCACTATCATCAAGTACGAGTCATTAAGTACGAGTAATTGTGCAGCATCAGGTATGACATTGTACTTCTGACTTTGGTTCAATATGACCCTGGTAGAAAGTTTGCAGACACCTTCATTGTCAAACAGTGCAGATAACAGCAGCATGGATACAAGTGATGAAGAGTATTTTTCTCCCCTAGAAGGGTCAGACTTGGACATGTTGGAGGTCCGGTATTATGTTGCTACTCCAAACCAAACACTCACTGATTATAGGTCTAAGGATCATAAAATGAACTCGGAAGGCAAGGGAGACACAACAGTAACACTCTCAGTGGCTCCATTTTCTTACCATCAATCCAAGTATAGCTCTGGTCCACTACAGAAGGTAGTAACAGGCCCAACCCATGCTTCATTGTTGAATGACCTGTTCTGCTACAGGAAGTTGCCAAATTCAAAGAATCATGAGTGGGATTTACATTTTCCCATCCCATGAACCCACAATTCTATCTCACTGGCCCAAGCAAGAGCCAGATGCAGGTGTGTCATTGTCATGAGTTCCAAATACAAACCATTATTCATTCCTAAATTCTAAGTCCTTTAAGCGCCCAGTCACAGCGCCTGTATCTAAGAAAATGTTTACTGTTGAAGAAGTTCCTATTATTGCGTCCATTGTAGAATTACCAGAGTCACATGACTTATCGGACAATGCTGAAGATATTGACGTCATGCCTCACGACACTCTTGGAATGTTCCAGAGTCTTACTATGGCTGCGGCACATGTTATGACATCATAGTTATATATAGAATTGTACGATACCTTTAATTATTCTGATTGATTAGTTAGTTCATACTCAGTTTCGATCTCAGTTTCAATATGTGTATATAGGTAGCTCGACGTAGTTAGTAGTTCTTTAGTTCAAACCTCTTGTATCTCCAAATGAGCAATCCAAGATGTACCTGCTGCCTTATCCTCTTTGTGATTATCTTGTTGTTTGAGTCCTAGTCTCTGCCCTGCGTTAATTCATTTAAGGGGTTGTGACAGTCATCTTGTCAATGTCGTTTACTGAGACATTCATCCCTGTTCACACTTGAGGTCATCCCAAGCACTGAACTAAGCCCTTGCACCAATGAGAATGATACTAGTACTACGATAAAAAATGGCCCACCACGTCCACTGTATCAATCAGAGTTT